CCCTGAAGGTGCACATCCTGGGTCCTCATCTCCCTGAAGGTGCACATCCTGGGTCCTCATCTCCCTCCCACTACTGGCATGGCCTCAGACAGCCAGCTTTAACTCTCCCCGCTTCCATTCCTAGGCCTCAATGATTCTCTACTAATACCTTTGTTGTTAGGATAAGAAGAGATAGTAAGTATTAATCTGGAACAGTCTCTGACACTTACTAGTGATCAATGAACACAAGCCACTAAAACCCTGATCCATTATTAGGGTCAGCTCTAGTCACGTGGCTGTCTACCAAGCCTAGACAGATGACAGACAAAGATAGGTTATTCTCACCCTAGTAACAAGACAATGGTGCCCTATGCACTCATGGGGGAATCTTTTTTTTAATAGTTTTATTGGTATATACGTCACATATCATACCAGTTAATCATTCGACCATATGCAGAAGATTGAGGCAATCATCCCCACAATCAATTTCAGCACATTTTCTTCTCCTCCTCAATGTTGGTAGCTGCCACTTCCTCCCCAGTACTGTCTCTGTAGACCATAGAAAACCATAGAAAACACCAACCAGGAATCAAGCCAACAAACAGAACCAACGATGACTAGACAACCCTCCACGGATCAGAAAGCAAGAAATGTGCAAAACTGAAACAAATGGAAAATGGGTCAAAGGGGAGATCAAATGAGAAGGTCTCATTCTTCTTTGCAAATACGTGGACAACCTTTTCTCTTCCTTCCTCCCTCCCTCCACAGGAAGCTGCCACCAAAAACAATACAAATAACCGACCAGACTCCACCACCTTCTTTGCCACGCGGACCACTTCAGTGGAGGAGCAATGGTCCTCACTTCAGCCAGGGATGGGGCTGAGGAAAAACAGCACATGGGCTTTGGAAGAAGCCAGCACCCCAACTCTCCCCATGCCTTTCACACCGACCAACAGGACCTCTCTCCATCACCAGTGGCCCCAAGACCAGTGCTGGGAAACATACGTCGGGCAGGTGGTTGCCGTCATCCTTTATAGAATCTCTCCACATTCAGTCCATCGCTTAACCCCAATGGCCATCTGAGATGTCCCAGTCCCTACTTTTTCGAAAAGGAAAGGGAGGTTCCATGTGGAATTTTCCAGGTCTCAAACTGATAATCATCAGTGTAAAGAGTCCCTCACTCTGAACTAAATTCCCAGTCATGTACTAAGGCTTTAGTCCACAGAACAACCCTGTGATTACCATCCCTAGAAGCACAGGTCTCTGGGTGGGATAAGTGGTCGACGCTCAGCTGCTCAGCGCAAAGCTGCCAGTTCAAGTCCCCCCAGGTGCACCTCAGAAGAAGGTCCCCCAGATCTACTTCAAAAGCCTTCACTGTTGAAAACCCAAGGGAGCACAGCCCCCCTCTGACACACATGGGGTCACCATGAGTCATAACCAGCTTGGTGGCAGCTAGTGTTTTTCTAATCGCAGGGGAGGAACCTGAAGCACCAAAGGTTGTGTTACTTAACCGAGGACTCGGGTAGCAAAGAGCAGAACCAAGAACCAAACCCAAGTATCTGCTCTGAAATCTGTGCTCGCCACCACTCTGTCCTCCGCCTTTGGTCTGCCTGAGATGCTCAGACCGAGAATCACAAGCTCTGAAGACCACCCACGGAACTGAATCTCAGGCCTTAGACGTCTGTAGTGCAGAACCAGAGGCTTTAGATGATCTCTAGTTCATTGTCACGCTGGCCTTGGAATTAAACTTCAAGTTCTAATAAACAAATACTTAGCAAGCCCCCATATGTGTCAGGAGTCTTAGACATTTGTAGGATGCCGATGCCCGTGGGGAGGGTCCAGTGACTCTAGCTCACTGGGATGACCGGAGGAGGCTGGGAGGTGGGAGGGCAGGGCAGAATGAATGGCATCCCACGGTGTGTGTGTTTCAGGAGTTGCTGAAGCTGTCCATCATTGACATGCTGTTCACCGTGGCCAGCATTCTGCTCATCGACTTCTTCCGGGGCCTTTTCGTTCGGTATTTAAGTGACTACTGGTGTTGGGACCTGGAAAGCACTTTTGTAAGTGAAGGGGCATGTTCACTTGGGAAGGTCATAGCGTTAAGCGCATCTTCCAGCCTGGCTGGGCTGGGAAGCAGTCAGCCAGGACAAGGAGCACACGTTGGGAGAAAATGAGGATGAGAAGAGGGAAGGGATGTACCAACCTGAGTCTCCACTCCGTCATGCACTTACCACCTGTTGGGTTGGCCATCAATGACCTAAGAGCAAGAGCAAAGAACTTAATAGGGTTTGTAGTCGGGTGCCTTTGGGTCGATTCTGACTCCTCGCAGCCCTCTAAAATAGAGTAGAACGGCTCCACAGTGACGTGTAGTGGGTCACACATTGGCCTGCTAAAGGGCAGGGTCATCCTTTCAGAAGTACCAACCGCTCTGCTGGAGAAAGATGGGGCTGTCTTCTCCCATACAGACTTACAATCTCAGGGGCAGTTCGACTCTATCCAATCAGGTTGATTGCTACTGTTGCGATCAGCTGGATGATAGGGAATTTGGTTTGGGGAATCTTTATGGGAGAAGCCCTAGTAGCATTAAACATGGGGCTGCTAATGGAAAGGTCAGCACTGTAAACCCACCAACTGCTCTGAGGGAGGAAGAGGAGGCAGTCTGCTCCTGTGAAGACCTCCACTTACGATGGGTAAGAAAAGACCTCGTGGCAGTGGGTTTGGTTTGGGGGTCCTCTTTATGGGAACAGATCATGGGGCCTTTGGTGGAGTGAGTGGTAGGTTTGAACATTATGGTTTGCAATGGAGCTCGTTAACCCTTGCACCAGTAGAGCTAGAATATAGTAGAAATGGCTTATCCAAGGCTCTTGGGAACATTTTTCATGCAGGGTTCTTTTTCTCTTATAGCCGGAATATGGGGAATTCAAAATAGCAGAGAATGTGCTGCATCTAGTCTACAATCAAGGGATGATCTGGTAGGTACCGCAATGCTTCTTGTCTTTGCTGGCACCCCCATTCTAGTTCAGTTGGTCTGCAGGGGATGAGCCCATAGTAATACAGACAGAAGAGTAAGGATGGGTGTAAGCCATGCCAATGGAAATAGCTGGCATGTATGAGAATAATTTCATCAAGGGCTCTCCAGGCTGTTGGCAGGAAGGGGTGCTGAAGAAAAGCCCCCCTCTCTAAGACACTCTTGGTCACAGCAAAATGTCTGTCCATGAGTGGAAAGAGTAACTTTTGGGTCAGGAAGATGAGGGGAACAACAGCTGCTTGTCCCCAGCAGGGTCTTCTCGGAGAAGCCATGGGTCACAGCTGGGCACCCAGCCAGCCCTCCCCTCGGCTCTGAGTCTCCCTCCCACTCTGGTCACCGTATTTCCAGGAAGACACTGGGCCCTAGAGCACTACCATCCCCCAGACTGATTGGTGCGCTCTGTCCACCCCGGGCATGCCCAGGCCAAGGCCACCTTGTTGCTAACGATGTCAGGGAGCTCAAAGATGCCATCTGGTCCACATAGCTGTGTGTGTCTCCAGGGGTCCAGAGAGAGGGACTCTGCCATCGCCAGTCCCACCCAGGACATCACAACTAGTGCTGTCCGTTAAAGTGCAAGCAAATGGAGACACAGAAGGACTTCCTCGGAGCGGTCCTATATTCAGAAAACATAACTCCTAGCCATGATAATTCAGGGAAATGAATGTTGAAATGCTATGAGCTTATCTTCAAAGCAAAACAAACACTGCCGTCAAGTTCTGTCCAGCACACAGCAGCTCCACAGGCAGATTAGAGCTGGCCCATGGGGCTGCTGAGGCTTTAATCTTTATGGGAATCCTGGTGGTATAGGCTGATTCTCCCCAGGAGAGAGATGAGGCTTTGTGCTCTCTATTGACAGCCTTGGAAACCTACTGGAGCAGTTCTGCTCTGTCCTCCAGGGGCACTGTGCCTTGGAATTGACTTGAAGGCAGTGCGTTTGGTTTGGGGGGAGGCGGGGTTCATGTTTATGGAAACAGACGGCCTATCTTCCCCTCACAGATTGGCTGGTGGGTTCAAACCACTGACCTTCTGGGTAACTGCCTTTTGCCACATGGTGGCACGAGTTGAGAGCTTTCATACTGTGCCACCAGGGCTCCTTATCTGCTTCTCATCCACTGTATTTTATAACATATTTTCCTAGGTGGAACATTAAAAAATACATAATATGTATTTCCTGTTTCTCAGTCAGACCTCTTTACCTGGCTCACTCTTTCTAACAACGCTATGAGATCAGCCTCAAAACTCCAGACCACTCAGGCGGTTCTGTTTTGTGGCGGCCCTGGGGGACCAGGCGGAACTTCCCCTGTGGGTTTCTGAGACTTTAACTCTTCACCAAATGGAAAGCTTTGTCTTTCTTCTTGGGAGCAGCTGGTGGTTTCACACTTGCAGTTAGCGACCCGTGGGTAGCCTCTATGCCACCAGGGCTCCCATGAGCTAGTGGCTGTGAGTTCCTTCCGCTGCAGAGATAAAGAAACAGAGACACAGAGAGCTAAGAAGCTTGCCTATCACACAGACAATGACATGTAAGCCTGCCACGAGAAGCCAAAGGATTCTCTTTGATTGACATATTTGTATTTATTAAGCATGTCCTCATAAGAAGTCCTGGTCTCGGCCCTTTGAGTCTCAAACGCAACTCAGTGTGGATGCTATAGTTGTTCACAGTTAGTTGACATCGAGTCACCACAACTCGTGGCAGCCTCGATACAACAGAAGATCATGTCGCTCCTCCTATTGCATCCTCAGAATTGTTGGCATCCTCAAGTTCATTGTGGTGACCGCTGGGTATCTTGGGTGCCTTCCAACCCACTGAAGAGCTCCTCTTCCAGAATTATATTGGGTGATGTCTGCTGTGCTCCGTGGGATTTCCACTGGCTGGGTTCCACGCCTTTCTTGCTCCTCTGTCTCAGTCTGGAAGCCCGGCTGTCCTGGAAACCTGTCCACCGTGGTTGGCCCTACTGGTACTTGAAATCGCAGCCTCAAAGCAACACATAACACACAACTGTGTGAGCATTTGACAGACAGGTGGTGGGGATGATATCGGATCACCCTTTATTAGCAACCTATCTTTGAAGAAAATCAGTAAACTCTTAAGACTCACCTTCCGTATCTGTCCACTTCGGATATTTAATCTTTTTTTCACGGTTGCAAAGTCTTAAAGGAGCTAAAAGGTGTGAGGTTGTTGAGCCTGCTATTCAGCAAAAGGAGGTGGACAACAAAGCCTGGTTGAACTTGAAAGCCACCAGCTTATGAGCAAAGTTCTCCAGCAAAGCTTGGCACTTCCTCCAAAGTATAGTTAGTCATGAACTCCCTTGAGGTGCAAACATGTATTACTCCTATGCAACGTGGATATTTTTAAATGGGATCTCTACACAACTGCAAGAGAGGCTTGTCTTATTTCCAGAAGTTGAAAGGTGGAGGCCTCGCATGCCCATAGGGATCTTTCAGTCTGGTCAACATAACAGGCCAATCCTAAAAGCTCAGCATTGTGTCCCTGTGTGAGACTTCTGGACTACAGTGCCATTAGTCACACCGGAAGAGAACAGATGCCAGTCTGTCCCTCCCTTTTGCTTCCAGGATGGGGGCCTTCTTCTCCCCGTGCCTCCCAGCATTCAACGTTCTCAAACTGATTGGGCTCATGTATCTGAGGAGCTGGGCTGTGCTGACCTGCAACGTGCCCCATCAGCAAGTATTTCGAGCATCCAGGTCAGTAAGAATAAATTCTACTTAGTCCCTGGGTGGTGCAAATGGTTAGGAGGGCTAACCAAGATTGGAAATTCAAGCCCACCCAGAGGCACCTCGGAAGAAAGAACCGGGGATCTAACTCCAAAAAAAACCCCCAACTGCTTAAAGTCCTGTGGAACCCAGTCCTACAGTAGCACATGAGTCAGGGTTAACCTACTGACACCTAGTCGTGTGTGTGTGTGTGTGTATGTGTGTGTGTGTGTAGAGAAAAAATACAAAGATGAATTGGCAAATTGATATGCATCTACCTGCTTCATTCTATTTTCTATTCTCTTCTAATCAAATCTAGTGGAATCCAGTCTAGACTAATCTAGTCTGGTCTATTTCATTGCAAGTGAGAGTTGAGTTAGTTGAGAGCTAGTTGAGAGTCACTAGATTGATTTCACAACCCACCACTCCTTTTTCTAGAACTGTTTGTGTAGCCTTGCACCTAAAGCAAGGGAACCAAGAATCACAATCCCAGAAACCAAGCCCCAGATATGAGACGCTTTCTAGGCTGGGATAGGAGAGGAAGCCACTTAGTAGAGACTGGGTGGGAGGGGAAAAATGCCTAAGATTGGTTTTTTCCATGAGTCCTAGGGGCATAGCTGTTATGTGCTGGACTGATAACTATAAGGTCAGTAGTTTGAAACCACCAGCCATCCTGTAGGAGAAAGATGAGGCTTTCCACTCCCACAGAGCGCTAAAGTCTTGAAAGCCCATGGAGCCAATTCTATCTTGCCTTAAAGGGTCGTCATGAGTCAGATTTGACTTGATGGCAGTGAGTTTGGTTTGGTTGGTGTGCATTAGTGACATCCCAGGGTTCAGGCACTGCTCTCACTGCGGGGAGCAAGGGATCTACAGATGCCTGCATGATAAATCCATGCCCAGCTTAAGTTGGGCTGATCACTGGTCAATCTCTGAGCATACGACTGCCTCTAGGCAGCCGTGGGGGAGGTTTTTCTGTCTACAGAGAGCCAGGGCCACCATTTCTGGGTTGGTTCTTGGCTAGATGCATTCTTGGCAGCTGGCCACAGAGGACACACTCCCACAACCCATGTCACTGGTTCCTTTGTAGATCCAACAACTTCTACTTGTCGATGCTCTTGTTTATGCTGTTCCTTTGCATGTTGCCTACGATCTTCGCAATTGTCCGGTACAAGCCATCCCTAAACTGTGGGCCATTCAGGTAAATGATTTTAACTCAATCTGCTTGGAATGCTTATATAATTGTCTCATTTTGTAAATCCATAAATTTAATTAAAATGTGTATTTGCCTATAAATGAAAGGAACCCTGGTGTGGAACAGTTAAGCACACAGCCACTAATTAAAAGGCTGGAAGATTGAATCTACCCAGAGGCCCCTGTAGGAGAAAGAACTGGCCCGGTATTCCCATAAAGATTAAAACAAAACAACAACCACAACCCCATCACCAAACCCATTGTTGTCCAATGGATTCCTACCCACTAGGAGAGTCCAGGGGTCACAGTCAAGGACTCAGCCAGCCCAGCCCTCAGCAATCACTCTCCCTCCCACACAGGGCCCCTAATCTCATTTTGACATAGCCCTTTATGAGGCTTCAAAGGATGTACATCTTGACCGGGGAAGACAGCCTCATCTTTCTCCTACAGAGAGTCTGATGTGTTTGAGCCATTGACTTTGTGGTTAACAAACCAATGCTTGACCTCCATGCCTCCAGGACTCCTTAAAGATATCGTCCAGAAATCCAGTTTTACTCTGCCATATGAGGTTGCCGTGAATCAAAACTCAAGTCAGCAGCCCCTCACAAGAATAACAGTGTAAACATATCATTAACCCACTGCCATAGCGTCCTTTCATTCAGATTCATAACAACATAGCATCCGTTCATTCATCACGTCCATTCATTCCGATTCATAACAACCCAGGGTAAGGTTTCCAAGGCTATCAATCTTTATCGGAACAGAAAGCCTCTTCTTCCTCCTGAGGAGCTTCTGGTGGATTTGAACCACCAAGCTTGGGCTTAGCTGTCCAGTTATGTAGCTAAGTCATTCATTCAATCAGCCATAGTCAAAAGACCCTACTGAATTCACCTCCTGCCTTACCCTGATTCTAGTCTGTCTGTACCACTTAGTCTGTCTTTGTGTACACCATTAAAGTACACATTCATACATACACACTGTGATGAGTCACCCAGCCATGAGGTCTACATATTAATTAGACAATTTAGAAGTCACTCTAGAATTGTAGTAGCTACACATTGCACTGCTAACTGCAAGATCAGCAGTTCAAAACCACCAGCTGTTGTGCCAGAGAAAGATGAGACTTTCGGCTCCTGTGAAAAGTTAGAGTCTCAGGAAATGCACAAGGGCCTTTCTACCCTGTCCTACAAGGTTGCTATGAGTCAGAATTGACTCGCTGGGATTGAGTTTGGCTTGGTTTTGCAAGTACCATCTATATCCGGGGATTTACTCTAGCTTGTCACTTGCTTTGAGGATTGCACCCTAAGCATCTAACTGTTGGGGATGCCTGACAGCTTCCTTCTGCCCAAAGCCTCTAATCGGGGTGCCTGTGCCTCTTCCCACAGTGGACAAGAGAAGATTTATGACATCGTGTCAGAAACGATTGCAAATGACTTCCCCGTGTGGTTCAACCGCGTGGTTGGCTATATCAGCAGCCCTGTGGTGATCCTGCCGGCTCTGCTGCTGCTTTTGTGAGTAGGACACCCGGGCTCCCAGGCCAGCTGGGGGCACTGCCATGCACGGGGCTAACGAGAGAACATGGCTGTTCAGTAATGACAAAGTGTCCATTCCTTCATTCAAAATCACTTAAAGCGCATGACAAAGTACGTAAGAAAGGACACTGAGCCCCAGCAAAGAGGATCAGGCCACTAGGCCAAGATGTTGTGGGGCCAGAACGGAAGCAGGGTGGGTACCCCCCAATCCCAGTCTGATGGGTATTCATTTACTCGTCAACCTGTAGTCCGTTACCGATCCTGGAGTTGAAAGTCATACAATCCCTGTGCGTCTCCAGAAAGGAGCCCTGGTGGTGCTGTGGCTTGGGCATTGGGTCACTAACCAAAAAGTCAGCGCTTCAAACTCACTAGCTGCTCTGAGTAAGAAAGATGAGGCTGTCTACTCCCATAAGGATTTATAGTCTCCGAAACTATACAGCATCATTGTGAGTGGGAACAGGAGCCCTGGTTGTGTAGTGGTTACGTGTTGGGTTGCTGACGACAAAGTCAGTGATTCAAAACCACCAGCAGTTCCGAGGGAGAAAGATAAGGCTTTCTACTCCCATGAAGAGTCGCAGCCTCAGAAACCCACAGGGACAGTGTTACCATGCACTGCAGGGTCACTGACCGTGAGGTTGGGTTTCCGAATGTAAGTGGAAATCAACTTGATGACAGTGGGTTCCAAACATCAAGGTTAGTGGTTTGAACTCACCTACCATCGGCCCCTCCGGAGTAAGGCCTGGCAATC